ATTCTAGTTAACTTTGGTTTTACTTGAAATATTGGAGCCTTTGAGGCATAAAATCAAAGCAGCATCTTTCATGCTGATTGCTGTGACCAAGGGGAAAGTGCAGCAAATTGTTGAGCTCCTCTTGGGAGGTGCAAATCTCTTTCAGTTTTTGTTTGCTCTGACAGAATTTCAGTGCACAGTGGGATCTACTCCATACTGTTCAGCATAAGGTTATCAAAAAGCAATGGTGTGCAGATGAGGCACTTTACTCTCTGACAGCAAAATATTTTAAGTAAGTAGAGGTCAAAGATTACAGAGAGCAATAGAGAGTGGTGGTGGTTTGTTTGTTGGGGATATTTTTTTGGTTTTTTTTTTTTCCTCCCTTTAACTGGTAAATATTAGCAAAATGATCCAACTTAGCATCAAACTTGAACAGATCACTTTGTCAGTCTGCTTCAGAGCGTGACCGCGTGACTGTGCACTGAATTGTGGTGGGTGAAAGTGGGAATGAGCAGCTGGAGTGGAGGAAGGAAGGAGCCTCTTAAACCACCCTTATCACTGGAGATAGGGCTACACACATTCTGTGAAAGCTGCCTTTTCTACTTTCATCCTTCCTTTTTCCACCATAAGCCGCTGCTTCCCAGCTGGACACTCTCAGAAAATTCAGTTATATATTTCAGTCCCACTGTCACCCAGGGTGAACACAATTTTGAAGTCAATATAGTTTTGCCAAGATTTCCTGATCTTGCAATCCTTACTTTTCTTTGCTTAAGGGAGTAGATCTGCCAGCTTTTCTGCAGCAATATAAAAAAATATAGTAGTAGTCACAGAAGGGTTGTTATGATGCCCCTGCTGTAGCATCATACCTTAATCAAATTAAAATTAAAAAAGATAGGTCATCTCCGAAGGTAAATCAGATGAGATCCAATGACAGAAATATCAATGACGGTTTGTATGAATAAGGATCTAGTCCCAAACTTTGGCATTATTTCTTAGGACTCGGATTAAGATCTGTGCTACTGATACAGAGTCATAAGGTGAAAACTATAGTGTGAAATTTTCTTTTTAACAAGAGAATTAAACTAAAATGAATTTTTAGCCATGAAGAGACATTTGGAAAATCATATTCATTTAAAATTCCTTCTGTTTCAATCTTTGCTGATTGGCAGAATTCCCATGAACTTCAATGGGATGTGCACCTTATTATTTCACATACAACAGATATGTTATTTTTGTTATTCAGTGTTTAACATTCTGCTTTCATTTTTTAAAAAATTCCATTTTTTCAGGGGTTGAGTTACTAAAGAAATGCTATGAGAAGACTAATACAAAATCTTTCTTCTTAGGTACAAACAAGCTTAAAGCTTTTTAAAAAGTTTATTCAAATTACATTTCTATTAAAAAAAAAACAACCAACCAACCAACCAACCAAAAACCCCCAAAATCAAACCAAACGAGTAAAAAAAACCCAAACCAGAACACCCAAAGCCTATTTTAAACCTGATTGATATCACTATTTTTAAAAAAGGAATTATTTTAATATCAATGAAATAGTGTAAGATGCTAGGCCCTCAGGCTATGTCTGCATCATAACCTAAATAGGACCATCATAGGATTGTGCTCTATCCATTGATTGTCCATACAGCTTGTGTCTCCTGACATAGTTTTATCCCATGCCATCTGGCGGTGTTCCATACAATGCCCCAAAACTGTCCAGAGGCTCTTCCCAATGGGCGGCATGGACGAAGACAGCTGGTTTTGGCCAAAGACGGGTAAGGAAAACTCAGATTTGTACACAAGAGCTGTACCCTGCCATTTGCTTTCTGGGTAAATAATTGGCATTAGGCTATTTTAATTATGGATACAAACGGACTCACTGAGGCCCTGTTTGCAAGTGTGCTGATGTCAGTGCAAACACTGTCAGTGGCTTTAGTTTGGCCTTCTGAGAGTACAGATCTGTATCTACTTGTTTTTTCACACATGTTGCTACTTTTTTCAGAAAATTAGCACATAGACTTAGGGCAGATATTGCAGCCAAATTCTTTAGATTCCTTGAGGATGGAATACCAAGCTGGAGCCAGCCAGAATGATAAATTTGAATTCTTAAATATGAAAGTAGAAACTACTATGAATAGTTATTAAAGATTTTAAAAGTGGTGCTCACAGCCACAGTCCTGTGTACACCCTGAAAGGTTTGCCTCAGGTTCTACAATACTGACTGGCATTACCCTCACCATCTCAGAAACAGGAAATAGCTGTATGGGCTCCTATTGACTAGTAGAAACAATGGGATATTTGCTGAGCTTGTAAATCCTTTCCTAATTGCTGAAAAAAAAAAAAACTGAATAGGAAATCATGACTTGTAAGCTACAGTTTTCTGCCCAAGAGCTTCTATGGCAGTTGACTTAACAGAGAAGAAATCATATAAATGCATCAGCATCAACTAGTACTGATGCTTCAGTGAACTATGTAAAAAAGCAAATAATACAATGAGTGATATATACTTGGGAATGTCATTTGCATTTAAATATAACAGCTATGTCATTTTTTAAATTTTAAGTATTCCAAAGTCTGCATAATTTTGTTTTGAAGTTGGCAAAGAGAAAGTAAGTGGCTTTAAAGGTGAGTAGGAGAGAGGTGCAACAGGAGGTGGAGAGAAGAAGAGATGTAACTTCTGTAGCCTGGGAACTGTGGTAGAAGAGTCTAGCACAGGTGGATAAATATGGTTAACTCAAGGGCAGTTAGAAACTTAGCTAACCAGAGTTGGAATTTAGTTTAAAGGTAATGTCCCTTAGAGTCCAGCAGGACAACGTGCATTTTTTCCGGCCAACTAGAAAATTCAGTAATAATATTGCAATTCTTTTGCACTCGGTTACAATTGGTAACTTTTCTTCATCATTCTTAGCGTTAGAAAATTTTATTAAGGCCTTCAACTCCACTTATGTATAGGATAAATCAACAGACAATCAACTTTTCTGAAATCAGAGTTTCATTTATATTCAGAAGCCTTAATAAGACTTAATTTCTAAATAGCATAGTTTTAATACATATATATATACAGATTTAATATATACATATATATATATTTGTAAAAATTAGTCTTTGGAAAACAATTCTGTAGTGAAAAAATAAAACTGTGGAAAATCTCATTGCTACTGGAGTGTAAGTACACAGAGTTCTCTTTATATTCCCATTCGCTAAATGTACATATTGATTATACTCTTAAAACAATATTAACAAAATATTGTGATATAAAATTTTATTGAATTTTTCTGTCTCCTGGCTGCGACTATTTGAAATGGATCTTCAAGTAGAAGAAAAAGTCTTTGGGACCAGTGGCCAGGCAACAGTTTGCACAGTACTTGTGTGTGGGGTGAGGACCGACGCCAAAATCGAGGCTGAGCTCCGCTGAGCCGGGGCGCACCCTGCACCCTGCCTGCCTAGAGGACAGTTGATAACTCTGGGGCACTGGTAGCTCTGAAGTTCTCGGCTGAGAGGCTTGAATTGGATCTGGACAATAAATTGTCTCTTTCTGAACATGTGAATAACTTGAAGGCCAGGAAAAAAAAAAAACAAACATATAAGTAAGACTGTCCCTGAAATGTGTCTTTGTATTGCCAAGCTTTGTCTTCACTGTTAAATAGAAACAATATTTTAAATTTACTTTCTTCATTACTCTTTTTTTCCTTTTTGCTCTGTTAGATCAATATGCATTCTGTCGCTATGTGATTGACATGTTTGCACAAGGCGATTTTTATCCAGGTACTTTCCTACATCATTGCGCTCTGTTCTAATACTCTTGTGTTTTCCTGAGAGTTTCTGCTCCTTCATGTATTAAAAGTGTGTTTTGAATTGCTGAAAGGTCTCACAAGTGCAACAAGGAGTGTGCAAATAGACTTAATAAAGCATAAGACCTAATGGCTGTATTATTAAAGCTTTTAATTTTCTGTCTACAATGCATGAATTAAAATTAAGGTTGTGTTAAAAGTAGAGTCAATAGAAGACTATAGAAATTGCTAAAATCTTCTATGCTTTTTTTGGCTGAGATACAAGAGGAAGGAGCTTATTGTTACTAGCTTATTGGTTATTTTCCCCACAAATAGCAAACCTTAACCTCAGAATGCTACAAAAATAGAACTGCCATTGTTGTCCTTAGTATATAAAATACATTATCTGATCCATCACTTCTGTCCTTTATCTTCTCTCTTCCCACATCTCCGTGCTCATCTGTTCTAACACAGATACTTAATTCCTAGCCACAAAAAGAAGCTAGAGCTACTGATGATGACTGAGCATCGTCTCATAACATTATATCAATCTACCCTGACCTTATTTGATGGACACTCTTCCTTCCGAAATCCAGTACAAGAGGACATACTATAGAGAGGACGTAATCCTAGGAATGATAAGCAATGATATTTATGAAAAGAGTCAAGGATAGGATATTTAAGGACACACTAAGCCTTACAAGCTTAGTTTAGTCAGTTATTTGCTCATGAAGCTCTCCACTGGTACTTCTCTGAATTGAATGTTTTCTTATCTCTATCTCGTGGCTTAGGTCCTCTCTTGATATTCCCAGGTTGTCAGAGCTGGTAAGTCCTAAGGATGTAGCTGAGAAATAGAGACTCTCAAAATGGGGAAAGGGAGGACACAACATTTTGTGGAGGGAAAGAACAAGGCTGGGATTTTGGAGGGAGGAAGTTTGTATGGCCTATGCTCAACAAGTGATGTGGAGAGACAGGGATTTCTATTAAAAAAGAGTAAAGTGTTATATTGCCTCTAGGACTTTTAAAGATGGCCAGTTATAAACAGAGGGACTGGTCTAAGTTCAGAGTGGGAGAAAGGTTAGTAAAACCTTCCAGGGACCTTCAGTTACAATTTCATTTTAAAAATAACCCCCTGTACCTGACATAATTCACCCAGTTTCTGGCTCTATGCGGCTGTACTATTAATAAATCACAACACAGAAACTTGCATGGAGCTCTTCAAGATCTCTCTTATAGTTCTCCTGACATTTGCAAGCAGCTTTGACATGTCAGAGCCCTTTTTTCCAGATGGTTCCCTGGTTTGTTTGACACTGTTTCAAGGCAGAGCAGACATGCTGTGGGAAGGGAGTTTTGGAGAAGACTGCTTTTCAGTTTTGATCTTTCCAGCTAAGAGGAAACTGGGAAGATCATGAAGGAGAGCAAGGAGATAGAGAGGGAAGTCTGTAGTTACTTGAATTTCAGGAGATAAAAGATATGACTGTGTGTTCTTGTCACCCAATGTTTCCCTTGTGTCATTTCAGAGTACTGTGACAGAGTTGTGCTAAGAAATCACGGGTTGAACAGCTGAAAAATGTTCAGTGGTCATTGAGTGGTCAGCTGGCCTTGCAGGTGAACTGCTCAGGTGAAAACTTGAGGCTCCAGAAGGTGGAAATAAGTCATAAGGCAGCTTAAATCATCTGATTTGTAGGTGAAAAGGAAGAGGACAGCCCCTTAACTTAGGGTCTGCAAAAGTCCACCCATGGCTCCACCTGTAAAGCAACTGCTTTTTGAACTGCTAAGTCATTTGTTGACATCTGAAGTCAAATGCTCACAAGTTAAATTTACTCACAAGCTGTGAAAGGCAATGCTGAAATATCCAGACTGTCTTTTAGAAGCAAGGTAAAGTCCAGGGATGCCCAGCTCTGTGTTCTTTAAAGAAATCATCAAGGAGAGTGCCACCAAACACTGCTCAGTAAGTGTTTGTTAAAGCCTTTCTCAGGCAATGTGCTCATTTCACACTGGCCTTTGTGAGCTGAAATATTACTGTAATTCATTTTCTTGAATAGATAATTGTGGGGAAAACACCAGCACACTAAGTTCCTTTAATAATCCTAATATCCAATTAGCTTTAAAATCTGCTATATTTTATCGTTTTGCAGTTTATATATTTTATGGTAAATTGCATTGTCCAAACAAAGACATCTAAATGCATTCAGCTAAGGGATATAATTACAGTCACCCTGACACCGCAATACTTTCAAACTAGAAATCATTTCTGTCAATCACAATATTATCATTTGTGAAGGAGAAAAAAACCCACATTTTTCTCTTAGAAAATTCCTTCACATAGGTATATTGGCTTTTTGTAGGATTACTTACACCAAATATGAATTTCTGTCTTCTTGAGTTTATAAGAGCAGTGTCCTACTCATTAGATTTCTTAGGCACAATATATGGATTTATAATGTCAATAATAACAATACCATTCAGTATTTAGTCTTTGATAGTATTTTTTGAATATTTGTATTATTGAAAAAATCGTATTCATTCTGGCAACATTAGATTATTTTAGGTTCATATAAATTTTATGCAATAATTTATAGCAAAGCAGACCATATAAGATCACATTTTATAGTGACCAAACATTTAAAAGTAAAACTCATATCCTTGAGTTTCATTAATTAGATACACTTTTCAAAATATATCAATGGATACATTTTTACAGTTGCCCAAACAATCTATTGGACATCAGTTAATGTTCTTGCGTTGATTTTAACAAATGAGGCTGCAATGTTGCTCATTTACTCAAAGTTTTGTCATGTTACTGCAGCCCTAGCTTTAAAAAATGAATGAAATGTACATAAAATGTGCACAGTGAATTCATAGGAAACCGTTGAAGAGGGGGTTCTTGTTAAGCTGCTTCATGAAGCGTCAGCTGGTTTTCTTCTTTCTCGGGCCAGCATTTGTCACCAACGCTGACTAGTTTCATGCAGATCTTCCTGTAAATCACAATAATTATATCAATATCAGTTAACTTCTGAGACTTCTATTTTACTTTTTATAAAAGAAAAGTGCCTGAGGTTCTCAGCCCTTTACAAAAGGTATCAGTGGAGTTTTAGCCATAAAAAGGTTTTGCTAAACTGTAAGTCCATCTCATGAATATCATGACTGCAACAGTGACCTACTCTGGCTTCTACTGAGACATGTATAGCCCTCTGGAACTCTACTATATACAGTGTAAAAAATTGCTTTCTGATTTTATCTGATGAAGTATAGAGCCTGAGAATATTTTTTACTTTTCTGTCTAACATGCACGTGATAGGTGACAGTTTCTCAGAAGGACTGCTGAACTACCTTTCCTCCAAAGGATAGATTTTCTGAGCTTATTTATCCCTGAACTAAAGTTTCTTAGCCAAGTACAGGCAGTACTGTCTCAGCATTAACAAATTGCTCTGTCCAAATTGCTTCATGCTCCTTTTGGTTGCCTGTAAATGAAGAATTGATATCATTTTCTTCTAGGGTTAATTTTCCAAATTTTACTTCTAAAACTGTAAAACCTAAAGAGGAATACTTGTATTCTAAGACATGCTGAGACACATTGGTTCTGACTGGCACCTTTATTCTTATCATAGAATCATAGAATGGTTAGGGTTGGAAGGGACCTCAAAGACCATCTAGTCCCACCCCCCCTGCCATGGGCAGGGAAACCCTCAACTACACCAGGTTGTCCAAAGCCTCATCCAACCTGGCCTTGAACACTTTTAGGGATAGGGCATCTACAACTTCTCTGGGCAACCTGTTCCACTGCCTCACCACCCTCAGAGTGAAGAATTTCTTCCTTATATCTAATCTAAATCTCCCCTCTTTCAATTTAAATCCATTGCCCCTTGTCCTATCACTACACGCCCTTGTAAAAAGTCCCTCTCCAGCTTTCCTGTAGGCCCCCTTTAAGTACCAGAAACTACAATAAGATCACCCCGGAGCCTTCTCTTCTCCAGGCTCAACAGCCCCAACTCTCTCAGCCTGTCTTCATAGCAGAGGTGCTCCAGCCCTCGGATCATCTTCGTGGCCTTCCTCTGGACCTGCTCCAGCAGCTCTATGTCCTTCTTGTGTTGGGGACTCTAGAGCTGAGTATTCCAGGTGGGGTCTCACGAGAGCAGAGCAGAGGGGCAGAATCACCTCCCTCAACCTGCTGGCCACACTTCTTTTGATGCAGCCCAGGATACGGGTGGCTTTTTGGGCTGCCAGTGCACATTGCTGGCTCATGTTGAGCTTCTCATCCACCAGCACTCCCAAGTCCTTTTCCTCAGGGCTGCTCTCAATCCATTCTCTGCCCAGCCTGCATTTGTGCTTGGGATTGCCCCGACCCACGTGCAGGACCTTGCTCTTGGCCTTGTTGAACTTCATGAGGTTCTCACAGGCCCACCTCTCCAGCCTGCCAAGGTCCCTCTGGATGGCATCCCTTCCCTCCAGTGTGTCCATATAATCCAATCCATGTATTTGATAATTTATTTGATATTCCTTAATTTTAATATTTCTAGTGGTTTTATTCATGTTTTTATATTTCACTGGTAGGGGAAAAGGTTCTATTTTATTAGAAACCTTTACCTTAATTTTCATAACTATTTTTTTGCCCTTAGAGCATTTGAAATCCTCACCTATGTGGATGGATTTCAGGGACACTAGTTAGTCACTCTTAGCATGTAGCACATGGTTCTTTAAGTGAACTGGATCTGTTGTATTTTATCCCCCCTGTGCCATACTCCCATTTTACCACTCCTCCCCTGCTTTACTGCAATGTTTGTCATCTCACTTTACATTTACATTTTTTGAACTACTCTGGCAGACCAAGGAGTCGTTCCAATGAAACGCCCTTTTTATTTTGCAGCTACCTGAAGTGGATTCTTGCATGTCTGTCGTTTTGCATGCCCACCCCAGCATGTGGTTGTGCATGCTGCGTACAGCTGAACTAAGCATGATAAGCATCCTGGGTATTTGGTCGTAATGTGGCACCCT